TAGTGAGGAGTGGAATGTTGAGTGTTCAACAAGATACCAAGATATACTAGAAGAGGATGAAACAGAGAAGATAGATCTTGAGACTATAACTGTTAGTGATGGTTTTAGTCAATCATCGGTGAAGAGTACGATGATGATAAGAAGTTTCAAAGATCACGAAGCGGCGATTACATCAAACCTTAAAGATCATGAAAGTACCTCCTCCTATGTGAGTTAGACTCTGTTTTGCTCTGTTTGCATAGGTCAATAGTGTTACGTGTTGCGAAAGTAACAGATTTATGTCTCACACAGGAAACAGATATGATATGTGATCTAAGGGAACAAATCAAACAGCTTCAAAGAGAAATGCTAGAACTAAAAAGCTTAGTTAAATCTTGCGTCGATTTCCATAATTCGGCACAAATAGAATCATTTTCTGGTGAGTAAACATTATAATAATCTATTCTTATCTCAAGTTCAATTTCAGATTCATTGCAAAGAAACTGTTATGTCTGCTTCGAGATTCCTATAGACTCGCTTCTATATAGAACATAAACGCTGTAATAAATTAGTGGTTTTGATTTGCAGGTCTGAAATGTGGTCATGAGCTTCAATGGGAGTAGCAAGAAATGTCCAATCTGTATATAGATGGTTGTAAGGGCATTTCTTGATTCTTAGGACTCAAGAAAGAAATGAAATAGAGAAAAACAATCTGATTAGTGATTATGTATGCTTAGTAAAGTTTTTTTTTTTTTATGTTATAAACTTTTCATGTGCATATAAATAAGAATGTTTGAAATCTATATTATATATATGGTTTGATTTGCAACCTACAACTATGGTGTTTCTAATTGATGATTTTATGTAATTAAATTTAATGTGTTGGCCAAAATCGTTGCAGCAAAAAACATGAAAATGATATAATATCAAATAATTAAGGGACCCCTTTGTAACGACTAGAGATATAATTTGGCTAGAGACAAATTTTTTAGATTGCCCAACATTGGTTGGACATATCTCTTGAAGAGTTTCTTTCATCCTACTTAAG